CACCATCTACGCGTCGAGCGAGCTCTTCATGACGAACGACAAGTCGGCCGGCTTCGCCGACACGCGCGAGTTCCTGCAGAGCAGGCTCGGGGAAGTCAAGGACGCCGGCTCCGTGCTTGGCGCCGTCGGCCAGTGGGTCGGCTTCACTGCTTCGGCGGGCGTCAACGTGCTCAGGAGCAAGGGCATGCGCATCTAAGGTTTTCGCTGCTGAACTTTTCATGTTTCGCCCAAGCCATGGCAGACTGGTCTTTTTCTTGCTCGTCTCCCCAATCCTGGAGGCTGCTGCTCGTTGCTCTCTATTCTAACCGTAGAGAGCCTCTCCCCCATCTCTGCGATGGCGGCATCCCATGTACATCATGTAGACCCACCCTATGTAAAGTACACGAGGCCCCACGGCCTTTTTCTAGAATGCGGCTTGGCAAGAAGCCGCCTGAACCCAAAAGCAAAAGAAATAATATGACGCCTGATGCTGTCCCGGGACGGACCCGTCGCTGGGAAACTGGAACGGTGACGACCGACCGAAAACGCCTTGCTATTTGACTGCCGTCCAAATCCTTCGCATGTGCTCTTCGTTTCTATGCCCATCACGTCATCTGCGGGAGCGTTCGTTGGCGCGGATCGGTCAAACTTGGGACGTGGCATGTTAGTCGACGACAGAACAGTATAACAAAGGGGTTTCAGCTGTCTACTTACCGGATAATATTGACGTCCTTGCCCAACGAAGCCCGACCCTCGATGGCGTTGGGGGTGATCATAATGTACTGGCGGCTGACCGAGCGTCGAGCCGCATCAATCTGAAGGGAGGGGGGCAAGTCAGCACATCGTGCGCACTGGGGCGGGCATTGTTGATTCTTACCAGCATCTTGGTGCTAATCGTTCGGTTGACGTTGTCCATGAAAACGTCGAATTCGTCGAGACATCGCAGCGGCGATCCCATGGCCTCCCAAATGGCCAGCAGCATGCAGATGGACGAGAAGGACTTTTCGCCTCCAGACAATGTTTTAGTGCTCCGGCCGCCCGCGTTCTTGCGCGTCTCGTCGGGCTCCACAGACAGCTGCAGCTTTCGCTGCTTGTGGTCGAAGAGGATGTTTCCCCTGAACCCGCGCTCGCTGAGGAGGTATCGAAAGTTGATCCTCGAGTGCGCCGAGATGTGCTGCTGAAAGTGGCGCCACCTGACGAGTCGATCGGCCAGCGAGCGCTTCGCGTCCTGCTGGAAGCTTTGCTGCGACTCGAACTCTTGGGACGCCGCCAGGAAAGCGGCCTTGGCCTCGCGCAACCGATCGTTGATCTGCTCGTCCGTGGCGCCGATGCGTTCCGCTCGCTGCTTGAGCTGTTTGCAAATGGCGTTGTACTTCTTCTCCAAGCTTGCGTAGTTCTCGCCCTCGTCGATTTCAACGCGGTTTGGGGACTGCGCCGAGGCGCCCTCGGTGCACTCGGCCACAGCTTGGGCCTGGTAGGCGCATTCTTGCTCGGCCCTGTGCTTGAGAGCCTCGGTCTCTGCCTGCGTGTCGTAGGCCGTGTTCTTGGCCACAACGGCCATCTGGCGGAGATCCCGGGCCTGCTGCAGCTTTCTGTCGACCTTGTTGAGCTGTGCCTCCAGATCCTTGATCTTCTCCTTTTCGTGGTTGAGCTTCCTCTTCTGCTCCTCGACTTCCTTGTTGAGCGAGTCTCGTTTGACGTGCAGTTCACCGTACTGGGTACCGTGATGCTCCTTGTCGAGTTCGGCCAGCTTGAGTTCTTCCTGGTATTGGGCTAGTCGTCCATCGGCACCTTCGTACTGGTCATTCTCTTCGTTGAGGTTAGTAATCTTGGCGGCAATCTTGGTGATGGCGGCCTCAAGCTTGTCGTTGGTTTGCCTCAACCGCGTCACCTGCTCGTGACAGTGCCTTCGAGCCGTCTCCAGTGTCGCCTTCTCCTTGCGCAGCTCCTGAAACTCGCCGTCGAGGAGTCGCAGCGTTTCTTCGTGCAGGCCAATCTGGGTCTCGACATCAGACTTCATGCGCGGGGCCCTCTTGAACTCGCCGACAGTACTCGTTGAAATGCCCGATGGCCTGACTTGAATACGGATACCTTGATTCCGCTTGCGGTCGTGGAGACTGAGACTGACAGCTACATCGCGCGGCGGGCCGTCGCTGCCGTACATGATCTCCTCGGCATCCTCTCGCCTCTCAACGAGGATGATCTTTTCGATCATGTAGTTGACGATGAGCTGATCGCGCACCCAGTCATTCTCGATCTTGAGAGCACGAAGAATCGTCAACAATTGCCCATCCGGTTCCCTCAGCTTGGTGCCTGGAGGTAGGGGCTTTCCGATCGTGACTGGAACGTTGCGGATGCCAATCTGACGCATGAGTTCGACGAGACGTCGCTGGTCCTGCTTGCTCACGACCAAGAAGCTGTTGAGGAACTGGCCAAACGTTGTCTCGAGAATCGATGACCAGACAGGTTTGAGCAGCTGCATATGGAGTCCAACGGGGCCTACGGGCCGTCTCTCAAACCCATTGTCTCGCTCGATGGCCTTGAGAAGCTGAGGGATCTTGGGGTCAAAAGCGGCGTATGGCGATCGGTTGTTGCTTTGCAGGTTCTGGATGCGTCCCCTCGCATCCTGGACCTCTTTGCCCTTGGCATTCAGGCGTTTCTCGCATTGCGTGACGTGTTCGGCGGCAGCGTCGCTCTCCTTGATCAGAATGGGCAGCTGCGCGCTGCCCTCGAGAATCTGGCGTTGCAAGCGAGCCTCCTCGGCGTTTGCCTCGTCGAGCTGTTCCTGCAATTTCTGGCGAGCACTTCCGGACTCCTCACCTAGCCGTTGCTCTTCCGCTGCAATTTTTTCCTTCCAACTGGCAACGCTCGCCCTGGCGTTTCTGATTTGAGCGTGGGCTTCGCGTTCTTCGCGACGGTGGTCTTCCAGTTTCGCCTTCGCCTCCTGGTACGCAGCCAAGGCCGCTTCTACCCCCTCCTCTTCCGACTCCTTTTCCCTTGACTTTTCAGCCACAGCAGCTTCGAGCTGCTCAATCTTTTCATCGCAAGCCGCGAGTTGCCCCGTGGCCTTTTCAATGTTCCGCGCATCCTCGGCGAGTTTCGAGGTGAGGGCGTCCAGCTGCTCCTGTTGTCTCGCAAGACCACGCTCAGCATCCACAACCTGACACCAGGCCAGCTGTGTGCGGATTCGCTGGCCCTCTGCGCGCAAGCCAAGATTGGCCTCGACGGCCTGCTTGTCCTTCTTGGCCCTCTGGTATTTGACTTCCAGTTGGGCGGCATCTTCCTTGAGCTTGACCAGCTTCTCCTCGTGGCTGTCCAGCATTTCCGAGATGAGTTTGTAGTTGTGGTCGAGCTGCTCCAGCTGGACGCCCTTGAAGAAATACTTGTACTTGACGGCGGGCGTGGCCGAGTTGAGGAACTGGCGCGCATTGTCCTGGGACAGGACGTTCAGCGGATTGTCGACCTGCAGGCCCCAGTACTCTGTGATTTCGTCGATTTCGGCCTTCTTCGTGGAGATGGTCTTGCCGCGCTCGCTCTTGAGGCGGAAGCCACTGGTGCCGGACCTCGAGAAGTGGCGCTCCACCCTGATCGTCTCGCCGTACAAGTCAGGCTGGTACGCATCCAGTCCCTGGTTCTTGATACAGACGGTAATGACGGCCTGGTCGCGGCCCTCCTTGATGAAGCTCTTGAGGCTGCCTCCGCGGTTCGTGGAGCTCGCCTTGGCGCCCAGACAGAGCGTGAGGGCGGTCAGCACGGCGCTCTTGCCGCTGCCGTTCTCGCCGACGATAAAGTTGATGAGGGGGCCGAGCTCGACGTAGAGGCGTTCGTGGCACATGAAGTTGATGCACTCGACGTTTTCGATGATGCCATTCTCGGCTGCGCGGTTGTCGCCGACTCGATGCGAGCGGGCGTTGATGGCTTGTGTCGCACGTTGGTCGTCTAGCTCTTCGTTCTCGAGATGCCGAAAGCCGCCGTCTCGCATAATCTCATATTGGGTTCGAGGAGGAGAGTCGCGGCCGTTGCGAGACTCTTCTTCGCCGGCGCTTTGTTCGGACTCTTCGGACACGATACTCGGTTCGCGCGGCGCTGTAGGCTTCACGGGGCGACCGACCGAAACGCGCACGCGTTTTCTCTGCAGACACAAGTTAGCGAGGCGGCGACCCCTGAGGCACATGATGGGGCAAGCCACTGACGGCGGCATCGCTGCTAAAGCTCGAGCTGGCCTGGTCCACGCCGGTGCCGCTTGCCGAGTCAAGGTTGCTGATGGCGCGATGCGATCGCTTCAAAGACGACATGGTGTGAGTCGTGCCTATGCAGCCGCAGGCATGGTATGAGGTGGTGGGTTCAGGGCGAGAAAGAGAGAGAGTAAGTGTCGGTAGAGGCGAGGGGTCGTGTTGATAAGTTGTAAACTACGTAGTAGTGGTGTGGTTCCCGGGCAGGTGAGTATGAGGCTCTGGCCCGAAAGTGTATAAAGTCGCGAAAGATGCTGGGGTGAACTCAACAGGGAACGCGACAGGTGCTATCGGGTTGTGGGGTCGACGCGCCGCAAGACAAAGGGTCGATTGGTGTATCTGCTACCTGGGAAGAAGCTGTCTGGCAGAGGAAGCAGCTTGTACCCGGTACAGGTCTTGAGTGACACAAGCGCTAGCGTGTTTTTGACCACCCCGCCACCCGAAGCTGAAGCTGAATGACAGTACAAGGCAGAAAACGCCTTGGGAGCCCTACTTGGTACAGCCAGCCAAACCCCCACTACCGTACATCCATGAACGACAGTGACAGGAGCTGTTGGTCAAATCACGGCTCAAGGCTTGCCGCGCTCTCTATCCTCCACCGTCTTAGTCTGTTGAAGTTGCCGAAGATCCTTACCCATGGGAATCCTTACCCATGGGACAAGCTCGCAGACACAAGGCTATGGAAACACGGAGCTAGGCATTCTTCAGTGGGCCAACACACAAAGTCGATCTGAAGACGCAGTCCAGGAAAGTGCCAGGTAGTACAGGGCGGCGAGCCAAGAGGCCCCGATGGCAGACACCGGAGGTCAGGAGAACCCTCTGGACGGGTTAGACAAACGTCTACCTGAAAATTGCGTCGAATACCTGCTGTTCCTCGTCGACCAAAATTCAACTGACCGCCGCAAGGAGCTCTCAAAGCTTGAAGAACTTCGCAAAAATGCCCTGGCGTCAGCCAAGGACGTGGCAAGCGGCTACATATGGCAACGAGGAGAATTCAGCCTCGAGGTGAAAAGTGACCAGGGTAAGTAAGGCCTTGCGTCTGTCCGTCCCTGCAGTCCCCCGTGGCTAACACCGCCTCCAGGACTCGCCTACGTCCACGGCATCACAGACTACGGCGACTCTGTGGAAGATGAGTGGCTCATTGTCTTCCTGTTGAGGAAACTGAGTCTCGTCAACCCGAACCTCTGGATACGCATATTCGACAGCGACGGGGAGTTCCTCCTCATCGAAGCAGCCAATGTGCTCCCAGCATGGCTCAACCCCGAGATGGATCGCAACCGGGCATGGCTGCACCAGGGAAAACTCCACATCATCCCGCTGAACGACAAGAGAAGCAACAAGATCCTCTCGTTACCGGATGCCCTGGCCTTCATCCGCTCGAGCCCAAAGAGCCTCGTCCAGTCCGACCTCATCGACGCCGAAGCCTTCTACCGGCTCGAAAAGTACCCAGAGCACATGGCCACGTCGCTCCACCGCTCGCTCGTCACGATCCCGCGCAAGCTGGCCCTCGCCCTCCACGAAGTGCCCAAGGCCATGGCGCCCGCCATCGAGGCCTTCTACCTACGCGACCCCATCGCCCTGCAGCCCTTCCTCTCGGCGTCCGCCGACCTGCACTTCCCGCCGCGCGACCTCGTCACCGTCAGCGCAACGTTCACGCGCGTCCTCTTCGCCCAGCTCCGCTCCCAGCGCTTCGACCTGCCGCAGCCGTGGGCGGACCTCGTCCAGAGGGCCTCCGACGACCAGGCCCGCCGCCGCCTCGACACGGGCGCCAAGCTCGCCTGCGGCTTCGACATGATGGTCAAGCGCCTCGAAAGGACGGACCTGCGCGCCGCGCGCGAGGTCGGCCTCCTGCTCGACGATCTGCGCGAGGACGGCGACGCGGCGCTGCCGACGGACGACGAGATCAGCGCGTGGACCGACGCGGGCCGCGACGACGACGACGCCTGGCTCGACATCAACTACGAAG